ATATCGCTTGGTTTGTTGAGAGGTGCTTGACCTGTAGGATGATCAAGGCCGATCATCAGAGGCCGCATGATAAGTTGCAGCCTCTGGAGATTCCTATGTGGAAATTGGAACGGATCGCGATGGATTTCATCACGAAGTTACCGAAGACAGCAAAGGGATTCGATGCTATATGGTTCATCGTGGATCGATTGACCAAGAGTACCGATTTCCTATCCATACGGGAGAGTTCGTCGGCAGAGAAGTTGGCCGACCTGTATGTCAGCGAGATTGTCTCTCGCTATGGGGTCCCCGTTTCCATTGTTTCCGATCGGGATGTCAGATTTACTTCCCGTTTTTTGCAGACGTTCCACGAGGAACTGGGTACGGGACTGCATTTTAGTACGACGTTCCATCTGCAGACTGATGGGCAGAGTGAGTGGACCATTCATACCCTCGAGGATATGTTGAGGGCATGCGTCATTGATTTCGGTGGGAGTTGGGATTCCCACCTACCGCTTGCAGAGTTCGCCTACAACAACAGCTATCATTCCAGTATTGACGCCCCGCCTTTCCAGCTGATGTATGGGCGGAAGTGTAGAACCCTAGTCTGTTGGGGCAAGGTTAGGCACAGGGTGATGGGTCGGATAGAGGTAGTTAGGACCCCAGTCTGTTGCGGCAAGGTTAGGCACAGGGTGATGGGTCGGATAGAGGTAGTTCTGCAAACTACCGAGATGATACAACAAATTAGACAGCAACTGCATACCGCTTAGAGTCGACAGAAAAGTTATGCCGACCGACGCCGATCTGAGCTGGAATTTCAGGTGGGTGACATGGTTCTCCTGAAGGTCTCACCCTGGAAGGGTGTGATCCGCTTCAGGAAGAGGGGAAAATTGGGTCCCCATTATATTGGGCCGTTCAGGATTGTTTCCAAGGTTCGCAGAGTGGCTTATCGGCTAGAGCTTCCATAGGAGCTTAGCCGGATCCACAACACATTTCATGTTTCGCAATTGCGAAAATGCATTATGGATCAGGAGGCAGTGGTATCGTTGGATGATATTCAGGTCGATGAGCGCCTGAACTATGTGGAGAGGCCTGTGGCTATTTTGGAAAGGAAGAAAAAGATTCTGCGGAACAAGGAAATACCATTAGTAAAAGTACAGTGGGAACATCGGAGGGGATCTGAGTGGACATGGGAGTCGGAGGCAGAGATGCGCGAGCATTACCCAACATTGTTTATTCCAACGGACTTCGAGGGTGAAGTCTAGTTCAAATGGGGGAGAATTGTAACGCCCCGACTCACAGGTATTGTTTTAAATAAGATTTCTTGGGTTAAGCCCTACTCGACGCGTTGGTTTCCCTACTCGTTGAGTAACAGCTGGGTTGGATCGCATGTTAAGTAACCTACTCGATGAGTCCATATTGGGACTCAACGAGTAGGAGCTGGCAGATGAAACCCTAAATCCTGGGGTTTTGAACCCTATTTAAAGTAACCTTAGCCTCCCTTGGGTCTCTTTACAGTTTTAGAGAGTCCTTGAGAACCCTAATACGTGTGTGTGTCCATTCTGTGTTTGAAGCTTGAAAATAGGACCTTTGGAGGGAGAAGGCTTGGAGGAGAAGGAGATTGGAACAAGTAAAGTGTGGGAATCAACACTTATCTCAGTTATCATCTTCTAGAGGTACCAAAATCGCCATTTTCCTTGTAGATCTCTTCTATTGGTTGAGTTTTAGGGTTTTTTTTTTATGGAATATTAAGTTGACAAGATGAGCTATGGGCTAGATCTAAATTTGTAACTTCAGATTTGGACCCTCCTTGGGTTCTAGAAGCATACAGTTGCAGATTTGGTCATGGTTGAGGTCCCTCTTGAGCATGAAGCTCCATTAAGAACTTAAAATAGGCATTTAGGGCCTTTATAGCCATGCATGCACGTAAAGTGTGCAACTTTACGTGATAAGCATGACCTAGAAGCTTGGATCTGTGATTTGGAGCCGCTGCATGGTTCAAAACAGGTATGTATGGAAAAAGGATTGAATGGGCTCAACGAGTCGCAAGGTTGACTCGGCGAGTCACATGAAGATGGTCGTGAATTCGATGATTTGGATGAACAACTCGGCGAGTCCGATGGAGATTGCCATAAATTCGACGAGTTGAAGAACAACTCGGCGAGTCGAATGCGTTTTCTACAGGATATGTATGTGTGTATATCCATCGAGTTGCAAGGAGGAAACTCGACGGGTGGCCTTAAAGTTTGATTGAGAATCGAAGGAACTCGACGAGTCACCCCGATGACTCGGCGAGTTGGAATGTGCTTCAAGGAACTCGGCGAGTAGCTGAGGGTACTCGGCGAGTTAAGGTCAACATGGACTCTTGACCTTGGCTGAGGACTTTGACTTTGACCAAGGATTTATTAGTGGGTTTATAAAGTTCCTTGTGAGGATGAGGACTTATGGGCGAATCCATATTATGGTAATAGGTGGTGGAGCCTTTGGCCAGTGATCCGGGAGTTGGGATTTATCTACCGAGTCGACATCTGCAAGGTGAGTTACCTCACTATATCGATAGGGTCTACGACACCAAGGCCGGCCCTTTAGTTGTTATTATTATGGTATGCTACATGTGGTTATGATCTGTTAGACCGGAATCAGGGTAGACAGTATGTTATGCTCTCATGATCCGTAGGGATTGGTATGTTAGTGACCTGCTAGGTCGGTGCTCTAGTTACGAGAGAATTCTATGATTAATGATCAGTAAGATAGATATGTTTGATGGTTGTATATGCTAGTATATGATAGTTATGCGCACGTGGTTATTTGCTTATTGGTTGGTTTGAGGCGGTCCTACTTTTTGCTGAAGGCCAACATACCCTATGAGCGGTCCGGGGAGACTTTAGGCCCACGTGGCGGACCAGTCATGCCGAAGGCTCGGGATAGAACCAGATATACTATAGGCCCTGTAGGGCGGTACAGTCAGGCCGAAGGCCCAGTATGCATGTTGTTGATTATCTATTATTGATATGGTATTAGCGTTGTGGTATTGGTATTTTGGTGGTAGCTCACTAAGCCCTCGGGCTTACAGTTTTCAGTATATTGTTTCAGGTACTTCAGGAGATCATGGCAAGGCGAAGGTGTGACCATACCGCTCTTCATCCTTATGATATGATTTTGGGACACTCTGATGGATATTGATTTGAAAACATTTTTGTAAACAAACGCTGTTTGATTTTATTTGTGATTGAAAAAGTTTAAATTTGGCGTAAAATTTATGAATGTTATATCACCCCTCTCCAAGATAGTTGTAAACAAGCCACTGATAATTACACTAAAAATCATAAGGACAAAATTTGTAAATTACCTTAAAAATCATACCAATATCTATATATAATAACTAATCATAGGCCAAGGTTTTCTAATAAAAATATGCATAATTAAACACTAATCTTTCATTCCATAACAGTTGAGGTGGATCTGAGGGAAAACTTCTAGTGTATCAATTGTTTGCAAGTTTCATTTAAGGACAAGAATGATCACCCATAGAACTTGAAGCAACAACACAAATTTGGAGAAGTAAACAAACAAATACAACTGACCATTGAGTTTCAAAAATCTGACTTGCTTTTGAGGGGTATCAGCATTCACCTTCACACACTTAGCCTTTAGAAACACATTCATCCTACTCAGCCTACTCAACTGGCATACACAAATTCACCCCAAAAGTATACAATCAAAATACTGGTTTTCTGATCCTATTCGATGAAATACCCTTCCACAATGAGAGAGAAACATGAGGACAAAAAGCAATAACAGCAAAGCAAAACAATTAACCATTTTATAGTATGTTTTTTTAATCATTAGTTATTTATAAAAAGCAAAAGGAAATAAACAATATAAAGCTTTCCCATTTTGACCAATATAAAGCTTTCCCATTTTGAATATTTTTACACGATTGAAGATTATGCTAATTCAAATGATCTTAATACACCAAAACATATATATACATAGATAATAAACAAGTTTCCATTATTATGTACAATTGTGAAGAAAAGATTATCCATTGTTAATCAAACATAATTTAAAGGGAGCATAACAGTTAATCGTTGTGTCTCTTTCAATTTGTTTCACATGTGAAAAATACATACCTTGCAAGCAACCAATTGTTGAAATAGTCAAAAACATGATCATGATTGAGTTTGTGATACAATGCTTTTAAGAAAGGACCTCAAGATACACCTTGGATTCTTAGAATCATGTAACACTAAAAACTGTGCTTCACCTGTAAAAAAGAGCTTAAATGGTTTATCAGCACTCTAACATTACTGGAAAAAAAAAAAACAATGTAACAAGCTATCATGAACTCTTCTAAATAACTACAGAGGTAAATGCAGGTTGCCTTCTTTAGTATTTTTGACTACCCCAGATTCAGATTCTCTCCTGTTCAGTTAAACAAACAAAAATAATAGGCTTTACACATCATCCTTATGTTGTTTTTCTTTAGCCAGGTTTCTCTTTTGTGCATAGGCCATGTGTGTATGAGCTTATGGTGATCCTGCAACGTGAATCGATAAAAAAAAGCATTAGTTAGTAGGACCAAAAAAGCTTCATATGGCTATTTCTGATGATGACGAGGAGGAAGAAGGCATTTATATCTTTGTATTCTAAGAAAAAAGCAAGAAGTTTCAAATAGACCGACACCCAACAAAGCATGTGGAAGGTTTATAGGAAGAATAAGAAAAAAGACTCTGGCTGCAATTAAACAATAAATTAAAATCCATTATTTATGACTAAAAAAACTAAAGACAATACAATACAATACAATACATACCCAATACATGTCAGTAAGTGAGGTGAGATCCTTTGGGGCAGGAATATGATTTTCATCAAACTCACATTCTTTCGGCTCCTCTGGTTCACGTGATTTCTATCAACAAACAAAAGGATAAAAGTATATTATATAAAAAGAAATGGTGATTGGTGAAAAGAAAATGATAAGTTTTAGTTTACCTGGTTGAGAGATGTTGATGGAATCATCAGTAGTTTCTCAGTATTCTTAGGGAAGGAAAAGACATCACATGTTTCCTCTGCATCATAAATTGAAGACTGAATGGTGGTGGATGGGAATCCATTATTTTTGGCATGATGATTTTGTTAATGTGGGCAGCAATTGCAGCATCAAAAGAATCACAGCTGTATGAAATCTGCTGATGACATAGAGTGGGACCCACTGCATTATGGGATACCTCAGAGAGCAGATCACCTACGCTTATGTTAGTAAGACTATCAACCCATTCCAATGTAGACAATCCCATTCCCACACTTCCACCAATACCAATACCATTGTTAATGTTGTTACCTTCTTCACCCTTACCAAACCAACCATACCTTAAAAAACACAAAAACCATGATCAATGATTTTTCTTAGAATGTTGTAGAAACTGTTGTTTAAAAGAAATGAAAAATTAAAGAGAGAAACCTTAAAAAGAAAATCGGAGAGCTCCCAATTAAGGCGGAATCCTGATTCCATTTCTGAGAAATGGAAAGATTTGATGTTTGAGCATCATAAGGCACAAGTTTTAATTCTCCAGATGCTGCTACAGTAGAGCTACACCATTTACATGTCATATGTTCCAAAACCGATGATATTTTCTTTCTGTGTACTTAAAGTCAGCTCCAAATGCAGGTTGTGATTGTCCTAATAAAAATTATTATTATTATTATTATTATTATTATTATTATTATTATTATTATTATTATTATTATTATTATTATACAGATAAAGATAAAGTACAAAATTTATTATTGTTTCTTACCATTTGCAAGGCTCTACGTGTAATTTCATCAACAGGGAAGAGTTGAACTTCAAGTTTCATTGAAGACAAGATATTTTGATGAAAAATTGGCATAGGTGTGTTACCATGACTTTAAGAGCAGGAAAGTTGTTTTCTCCTTACAGTAAATTCACAGGAAAAACAATTTTATGCAATAAGGAAAGATGAGGGAGAAGAGCTGGTGGTGGTGAATATGTAGGAGTGGTAATTAGGGTTAAAAGAATAGCAGGGGTGGTGTGAAGATAGTTCTCATACTGCCTCGACAATCAGAGATGTCTTTCCAACCCTGTAACAAAACAAAAAACACTAAAAATGGCTTAATTGACCTCAGTTCAGCGATTCAGTTATGAATTACCAAAATGTGAACCTTAGATTGATCAAATCCAAGCACTTGCCACTTGTAAGGAAAAATCAAGAACACAGACAGAAAGAAGAAGAGTAAGAGAATGAGAAAACCTATTTGATCTTTATGGTGGGAGTCGCTGATAATTTCAATTGTTGCATGAACTTTCGGCAACATGTGTTACACCTCTAACAACCTGAAGAATTACTTTAAACCAATAACATGAAACGTGGCTAAAACATGTCTTTTGTTACTTTAATATGATGGAATTTGATATCATTATGTTACATATATTGTCCTTTAATATTTTCATTCAAAACATTTATCAAATAGTCAATTATCATAATACAATAGTTACAGACAGATGTGTAGAACAGTAATTTACTGTCATCTGCAGTTCATTCAACACAAAAAATAACAGCAATATTCATTTACAGACATCACTAAAAAAAGAAGACGAAAAAGGAGTCAAAGTATTCCAAAAAGTTTATTTCTACTACATGGTTAACCATACAAAGTCATATTTCCATCTTTGTAATAATATCAATCAGAGGGCGGAAGATGTAAAAAATTATCAGTTGTTTGTGAGGAATAAGAAAAACAGCAATCAATTTTTGACAAACATTCGAGAGATGAAGGAACATGTCAACTTAGAAGATGAGATTCAGGAATCACAAATAGAGGTTTTAATTACATGATGCAATCGATTCAACGTGAACATACATATGATGTTGAGGTATAAGAAGGATGATGACCGAAACAGAAAAAGGGGGAAATTAAACCCTAACACACTATAGTGTACAACTTAACTAAACCTAACCTAATATACGACTAAATAAAAGAAATTCAAGAGAATTACTTGAATCGGAGGTTAATGAAAACTACTTTTAGATTTTATGGAGGTTGCCGGAATCAGAAGCATCAACGATGAGTTATGTTGTCATATGTTTGAAAGGAGATGGTGATATTAGGTTAACATGGCATAAGGAACTATCTTCAAAGTGATAAATCGGATTTGGGAGGGAAGGAAACTTACAGCAATTTCAGTGAGAGATGGGCGATTGGAAAGCAAAAACGCGCGTACCCCAAAAATAATTTCTGTCGCGGTGTTCTCTCACTAAACGCATACCAGATGGCAAAAATCGACAATTTCTCTATCTGTCACTAAACCCTCGCTGAAATGTCTTCATTTTCTACCGATTGGCAAGGGATTGAGGTGCGCCAATAAACACTTGAAAAATCCGTAGTTGAACCCTCGATAAACCGTGGCTCATATGAAATATGTGGAATAAATAAAGTAAATGTCTAAAACATCGCACATCTGTCATAAATCCCTAGCTATAACCCTGAAACTTTGCTACAGAATTTATCCGTCGCTGAAACTCAAGTTTCTAGTAGTTATATCCCAAGAATGCAAATGTCAATAAAAGCTGGGAAGTAATATCGTCTAAGCCAGAAAACATATGTAATATCCGTATGATGATGGATAGCAGAGCTTGTGGGTATAACAATGTCTGCAGCCTTGATGGTAACCGCAGAAAATGTGAATGCCGATAGGAGTTCTCATTGCTTGATCCAAATAATCCAGTGGTGGTTGCAAGCCTGATTTCACTCCAACATTATGATCAAGTTGAGTCCATTAAAGGTGGAGACATTTGATTCCATCGAGCTCAGTAATATTGATTGGCAGAATCTGACTATGAGCATATGGACCCGAGTCGTGAAGACGCCTGCAAAAATGCCTGGTTGGAAGTTTGTTCCTATGTTGTCGTAATATACAGCATATACAGCGACAATGAATGTTGGAAGAAGAGGCTTCCACTCTCTAATGGGAGTGAACTTCTTAATGTTAAGTCGTTTGTGAAATACCTGATAGGTGATCCTCCTCTTCAAAACCCTCTTCTTCAAAGTCCTCCTCGGCTCCCCGGAGAAAAAAAAGATCGAAGAAGTCTGATAGTTCTCTTAGGTACTTCTGTGTTTGTAATCTTTGTGTTGAATTGATTGGTGTGATTTGTGAGGCTTTCTTTTTAATCTACCAGAAGAAGTCGAGAAACACATATTCAATTAGTAAAGATGTTGAAAATAATCTGCCTCGGTTTACATATCAAGAGCTAGTTGAAGCCACAGATGGATTCAAAGATGAATTAGGAAAAGGGCTTTTGAGAGTGATAATGAAGGGATGGCGGTTTTAACTGATCTTGCATGGGATTGTAATCAAGAAGGCCGACTAGATGCACTTGTTGCGAATAATTTGGAGGCCTTAAATATGGAAATCATGGGATTTTCCCTTTCAATCCACTTATTAATCCAGTCGTATCAGTTTTTTTTTTTTTTTTGAACTCACTTGTAACATCACGAATTTTTATTTAATTTAATTAGAAAACATAAAATAAAATAAAATAAAACATAATTTCTGCCAACAAGAGTGGCGGGAAAAATTCTTCTTCAGTTGAATTGTCATTTAATTATAAAGTCGGTTCATTTTATGTTTCCTGCCGTGTATGTGGGTTTCCGTTGATTGACATGACACCAATGAAAAATCAATGGAAATGCTCAACAACGAAAGGAACCATAAAGACCAATCTTTATTTTCTGCCCACAAGAGACGTGTTGCATGATTTGTAGACTCCAAAAGTCTTTCTGTTAACCATAAAGCAGCTATCTTATTATTCATTAAATACTCGTTTCATCATTGTTATCCATCATTCCACCAATTTCATATGGCTCCAGCCCAATTGCGTCTCGTCTTTCTAACTATTTTCCTACGTTTCATAGCTGCACAACAAAATGATGGTTCTGTATCTGTTGGTGCATCACTCACAGCCACATCCGATGTGAAACCATGGCTTTCATCTTCTGGTGAATTTGCCTTTGGGTTCAAACAAGTTCAGGGTAACGATAATTTCTTGTTATCCATATGGTACGAGAAGATACCTGACAAGACCATCGTCTGGTATCCAGAAGAAGGTCGGATGGTGCCTACAGGATCCAAAGTTGAGCTACTTCGTGAAAGTGGACTCGTACTCACTGATCCTCAGGGCACACAGGTATGGAGATCTGGGTCCATTTCCGCTGTAGCATCAGGTTTTATGAATGACACAGGTAACTTTGTGGTTTTTGGTAGCAATTCTCGCAAGTTATGGGGTAGTTTTGATTTTCCAGCAAACACCCTGTTGCCTACTCAGGTTATGGAGAGAGGTGGAGGGATGAAGTCAACAACCAGTGCAACAAACTTCTCTGGTGGACGATTCCAGTTACGTTTCCAAGAAGATGGAAATCTTGTTCTTAACACTCGAGATATACTTTCAGGTAATGCTTATGATGCTTACTATACCAGTGACACTGATGATGCCACCAATTCAACAAACTCCGGTGAACAAGTGATCTTCGATGCAACGGGATACATGTATATATTGAGAAGAAATGGCCAACGATTTGATCTTACTCCAAGAGGCTCACTTCCTTCTGGAGATTATTATCACAGAGCTACTCTAGACTCTGATGGGGTTTTTCGCCAATATTACTTCCCGAAGAATCCCACCTCCAATACAACTTGGAAAGTTATATGGTTCGTGCCACGTGACATATGTAATATAGGTGGGAATCTAGACAGTGGAGCTTGTGGGTATAACAATGTTTGCAGCCTTAAAGATAATCGCCCAAACTGTGAATGCCCACAGGGGTTCTCATTGCTTGATCCAAATAATCCAAATGGTGATTGCAAGCCTGATTTCACTCCAACATGTGATGAAGTTGACTCCATTGATTTCATCGAGCTCGATAATATTGATTGGCCAAACTCGGACTATGTGCACATGAAGCCCAGTGATAATGACACCTGCAAAAGTTCCTGCTTGGAAGATTGTTTCTGTGCTGTTGCAATATACAGGGACAACGAATGTTGGAAGAAGAGGCTTCCACTCTCTAATGGGAGGGAGCGTGATAATGTTAAGGCATTCGTGAAATACCGGGTAGGTGATCGTCCTCTTCCGAACACTCCTCTTCAAATTCCTCCTCCTCAATACCCTCCTCGGCTCCCAGGAGAAAAAAAAGATGGAACAAGTCTGATAGTTGTCGGATCGGTTCTCTTAGGCACTTCGGTGTTTGTAATCTTTGTGTTGATTGGTGTGATTTGTGTGGGTTTCTTTGTAATATACAAGAAGAAGCCGAGAAACACATATTCAATAATTAAAGATGTTGAAACCAATCTGCCTCGGTTTACATATCAAGAGCTAGTTGAAGCTACAGATGGATTCAAAGATGAATTAGGTAAGGGTGCTTTTGGGACAGTCTATAAAGGTGTGATAGGAAAAAGGATAGTGGCAGTGAAGAAGTTGAATACAGTGGTTCAAGATGGCGAAAAAGAATTCAAAACCGAGGTAGATGTAATTGCAAGGACTCATCAAAAAAATTTGGTGCAGCTTCTTGGGTACTGTGATGATGGTGAGCAGCGGGTATTGGTTTATGAGTTTATGAGCAACGGCACATTAGCGGAGTATCTTTTTGGGGACACAAAGCCGACATGGAGACAGAGGAGTTTTATTGCTGTTGGGATTGCTAAGGGACTCGCATACCTTCATGAAGAGTGTAGCACCCAGATCATTCACTGTGACATAAAGCCTAAGAATATACTTCTTGATGACTACTTCAATGCTAAGATTTCTGACTTTGGATTAGCGAAGCTGTTGATGATGAATCAAAGTCATACCAACACTGGAATAAGAGGAACAAAAGGATATGTTGCTCCTGAATGGTTTAGGAACATGCCAGTCACAGTAAAGGTTGATGTGTACAGCTTTGGTGTGTTGCTGCTAGAGATCATTTCATGCCGAAAGAGCTTGGTTTACGAGAGTGGTGAGAAAGGGGTGGCGGTTTTAACTGATCTTGCCTGGGATTGCTATCAAGAAGGTCGACTGGATACATTTGTTGAGAACGATCTGGAAGCATTTGATGACTACAAGAAACTTGCAACTTTTGTCATGGTTGGCCTGTGGTGTGTACAAGAGAACTCATTCTTGAGGCCAACCATGAGGAAGGTGATCCAGATGCTTGAAGGAGGAATTGAGGTGGCAGAACCTCCATGTCCATGCTCTGTCTCCAGTTATTGAACTCTAGTTAAACTCCTATATATGTCCTCGTGTTAAATTATATATGTAGTTTCTTATATGCCTAGTTTCTATCTTAGCAAAATCTTTCTTAATGTGTATACAAATGAAGATTGTAAAATGTGAGAATTGTAGAATATCACCCCTTGTTTAGGTGATTGAAGAATTCCAGATAAATCGAGAAATAATTTGGGTACAACATATACATGGGCCTATAGAAAATACACATAGGCTAAACTAAAATACAAATACAATTAAAAAGACTATGGACTAACATCCCCCCGCAAGCGTAGCGTTGGGTTTTGATCAACTCGAAGCTTGGATCGAAAAAATAGAAACAATGGTCTCCCAAGTCTTTTGTAAAAACATCAGCAAGTTGCAAGTGTGAAGGAACAAATTGAACTTTAAGCTTTCCAGAAGCAACTTGCTCACGTACAAAATGGTAGTCAATGTCGATATGTTTAGCTCGTTTGTGCGTAATTGGATTTTGAGACAAGAAGATGGCACTTTTGTTGTCACAAAAAAGCATAGGAGAGATGGGAAGCTGAACTCGTAGGTCTCGAAGAAGATGAACCATCCATGCCATCTCAGAAGTGGTATTAGCAAGAGCTCGATATTCTGATTCACAGCTAGAGCGGGAGACGGTAGGTTGTTTCTTTGCACTCCAGGATACAAGATTATTGCCTAGAAATATAGCGTAACCGTATGTAGAGCGTCGAGTCTCTAAGCACTGTGCCGAATCAGCATCAGATTAACCTTGAACAATAGAAGAGTCAGCGGAGCGAGAAAAATTGAGTCCGTAATGGATCATACCCCTAACGTATCGTAGAATACGTTTGACAGCTAAGAAATGAGCATCAGTAGGTGCTTGGAGAAACTGACTAACAGAATTTACTGCAAATGAAAGATCAAGTCGGGTTATGGTTAAGTATTGTAAAGCACCGAGCTGAGAGGCAACTACCCATGGAGTCGCAACAGGTTTGGACGAGAGCATTTGAGCCCGATCAAGTATGTCTCTTGCATACTTAGCTTGACCAAGAAATAAACCATCGTTGGTGTAAATCAAGCACATTAAGTGCACGTTTATCATTATTACTAAAGGGCAACAGTTTACTTTTTGCCAACTGACAAGACTGACAAACAACTGACTTAGGCAAATGAGAAGTAACAGACACAAGACCTTGTTTATTAAGTAATTTGATAATATCATAAGAAACATGACCCAAACGAGCATGCCAAAGTTGAAAAGAAGCACGAAGTCACCAACTCTTAAGATCACTGAGAAAAGCTGAATCACTTGGTTCCAAAATATAGAGACCAAACTCACGTCGCCCTCTTCCCACGATCATCCCTGTTTTCTTGTGCTGAATAACAAACGAAATATCATCAAACGAAACAATGATATGTGAGCTTGATAATCGATGACCATTACCAACAGAAACTTGATGATTACCATTATAGGGAACAACCGAGTCAAGTTGAGAAGTAGTTGAGGTCATATGAGAGGAAGCTCCATAATCCACATACCAATTAGAAACCTTGTTGGGCTGAATGTCCATAGCACCAAATGTTGATGCCAAATTAGCTTGAGAGGAAGAAGCGCCAGATCGCGCATAACGATCTGGAAAGTCAACAGCATAGTGACCATCAAGTTGGCAGATTTGACAACGGGGAACATAGGTGCAATGATTATTCCGACGACCTTGGTGTGAGTTACTTTGAGAACCACGTCCAACAGTGGACCGAAAGCCAACTGAGCAAGCCAGTCCTTATTTGCTTTCTGTATAGAAACATCAGTAGAAGAAGATGATGGCATTGGCACAGAACCATCAAGATAACCAAATAAATCTTGAGAAGTGAGAAGTGTCTCCACCTGATTGCGCCATAATAGATAATTGGCAGAACTGAGCTTAATGGTGACCATATGAATGAGTGGCATAGGGAAGACAAGAATCTGATTCAACTATGGTGAATGAAAGTGCCAATAGAAACGTGGCAGAAGGGGAAAAAGAAAATGGCAAAGAAGGAACATGTATTAGGGTTGGGGAAAAAATTGAAAAAGATACGTGAGGGGAATTAACCTTCTGATACCATGTGAGAATTGTAGAATATCACCCCTTGTTTAGGTGATTGAATAATTCCATATAAATAGAGAAATAATTAGGATAGAACATATACATGGGCCTATAGATCCCTCGCATCATAGGTCCACACTCACAAAATATATAAGTTGAAGTATTTCGAAGACATAAAAAACGATATGAGGAAATTACAGTATTTCATAGACATAGGAAACTAGGGTTATGAGGAGATTAATGTTAGCGGAGAACCAGAAGACTGAATGTTAATCGGTGTCATACTCAGCCCATGTATATACTTGGCCTCTCACCAAGATCATGCATCATCTCCTACTATCTTGCACACTACACGAAACCCAAATTCTGGAGGAAATTATTCACACATTAGCGGGAACAATCGGAACCCAAACCGCGGGAATCACCGCCGCCAGCCGGACCAGCAACATTGCACCCCACAGCAGTTCAGGTGAGTCCTTATTCCACCGCCGCAAGGATACCAACATCATCACTCCCATCGCTCCTTTCCCTCTTAAAGATCGCAGCAACAAGCCTGGTACCAGCCACCTAATTAGTTGTATAAAATTATTTTTGTTTACATTTTGTACATATATAGAGCAAAATAATAAACTTATTTTCAGTAATTTGTTGTATAAAATTATTTTTTAGCCGTTGTAAGGTCTGCCTTTGTTTGGATGGAATTTGTTGGAATAAGCAAATTAATAGAAGAACTGACTCATATCCTTCCTCTATTTCCTCCATCAACTTGCTTCAGATTAAAACAACTGACTCATATCCTTCCTCAATGTGCTTTAGACTACAACGATCGAATCCATCTCTAACATCGATACCTAATTTCAATTTTCAATAATCAACTCCATATCATTCCTCAACTTTCGAACATAAAAACCCCATCAATCGATCACCAAACATCGAGCATATCAGGCCCTCCATATTCGAGTTTTTAAATAGAAGTTATTTTTTTATGATTATCTGTAGGAGCACGACTAGTACTTGATGCGGATTTTCTTTTATTGTGTTAGTTTGTTTAATTTTAAAGGCTTTTTTTTTAGGGAAAATATCATATTAACCCATTAAACTTGTCATTTTTTGTTTAAAAGGTCACTCAATTGTTTTTTATGTTACATAATGGTAATAAAGTCACGTATGACTGTTTTAAAATGTCATCATCTTACCTGTTACCGGTATAAGAGGTATACTTGGTGCCACAACACAAAATGACGGTGTCATGTCGTTAAATGTAATGGCCACGTGTGTTACCTTTCAATTGTAATCTTTTAAATAAGTTGGTTTTCGATATTTCCTTCTCCACTTCCGTTGAAATCCTTGCTACTCCCGAAAAACCCTTGTTTCCACTTTCCACCAAAATTCTTGTCGATAGCTAATTTCATCTCAATCAAACTTCATTTCCAAGGTGTGTTCATCAACAAACCTTTTTGCTACTCAGATGGTATTCATCATGTATTTGACAATATCGATTTTGTTGCTATGACTCACAAGGAGTTTATCGGTTTTCTTTAACGATTCACACAAGAGAAATGTCAGAAAGTTTACTATTGCTAGCCGGATTTAGAAATCCCAGAAGGTTTAACATTGATTTCTAATGATCTTGAATATCAAGAGTTTATAGACATTGCGTATAGGTGTGGAATACAACTGTCTGTGTACATGGACTATTTTGGTACTCATCTGCAGGCATTTTGTGATGTAGTAAGTAAAGAAAAAGACATTGAAGACAATTTTTTTGTCATGTTAAACATGTCAATGGAAATGGACAATGGTATTGACCTAACTCTAATTGAGTTCATGAGTCCACATAAGAGCAACATGGAAGGAGTAATGTATGATGGAATCAGTCAAGAAAATGCAAATGAGGATGCAACAAAAGCTGAAAGCGCACAGAATGATGAAGATGACAATGTCCCAGATGTGAATGGTCAACCAAGGTTCAATGAAGACATACCTTGGAAGAAGCAGTTGCCAATTCTAGGTATGAGGTTTTCCAATCCTAAACAATTGAAATTCATGCTTTGTAATTATGTTGTAGCCAATGGGTTTCAATTGTATTATGAAAAAAAATGATAGTAAAAGATTATTGGTTAAGTGTTGTACCGGTGAATACACATTTAGGCTATGGGCTTCATGGATGCGTGATGAGCAGTCATTCCAAATCAAGTCCCTTATTAATGAGCATAATTGTGCCAAAGAATTTTAAGTTAGGGTTAATAGTTAATTACAGATGGATTGGTAGTCATTTCATAAGGGAAGTTCTTGAAAATGAGAGACTTAACGTGAGAATGCTAAAAGAAGAACCAAAAAATAAATTTGGCATTGAGGTTAGTATGGGACAGTGTTGAAGAGCAAGACAACATGCAGTTTCTCTAGTTGAAGGTACCATAATAGAAAATTATGCAAAGTTGTGGTCCTATGGTTAGGAGATTAAAAGGTCTAATCCAGGGTCAACAGTTAAGATGTGTGTGTGTGTGTTTGTATGTGTGTGTGTGTGTTTATGCATTGAATTAGGGTTGGAGAAGTGGATGTAGAAAGCTTATAAACTTGGATGGTTGTTTTTTAAAAGGAATGTGTAGTGGTCAGCTGTTATGTGCTGTTCGGAGGGATTGAAACAATCATATATACCCAATAGCTTGGGCTGTGGTAGCTTTGGAAATAAGGACAACTGGAAATGGTTTCTAGAAATTTGAAAGAAGACCTGCATCTTGAATCTAGCTTTGGTAAGACATTAATGTCATATCAACATAAGGTAAGGTTATGTGAATTAAGCATTACTAAATATGATCATGTTCTATCTATCCATATGATGTTAATACAAAGGTTAATTGAGGCAGTGAAGGAGTTATTCCCAGACATAGAACATAGACAATGTGTCAGGCATGTTTTGTCCAACTT